ATGAGGCAGGCTCTTTCCATATAGGAAAGAGCTCGCTGCTTGGCAAGGATTCGGGCACTCGCATGCTGGCGGTAGCGCTGCTGGAGCTGAAGCTCGCGGGCTGCTGCTAGCGCTGAGAGGCGAGGTGCGAGCACGTGCGGTCGAGCAGGGAACAGAGCGCTGCTGAGGGCAGCGCCATAGCCCAGCTTCAATAGCTGGCAGGGCTTGGATGTACAGTGAGGCGCAGGGGTGGTCTTCGGGTGTATACAGGGAAGACGGGAGAGAGTCAGGGGAAAGAGAGAGAGAAGGATGATGATGATGATGTGAGGGCACATACCTGGTATTGGCGATAGTCTGCTACGGGTGACATCTTCAAGTATTTTGGAGGCTGCTGACGTCAACAGTTGCATTGTCAATTAGTAGGCTAGTAGTAGGCTAGTAGCTGTGTAGGGAGTAGGCTGGGCGCCGAGCGCCAAGTGGAGGGATAGGGACTGGATACATATGTTGGTGGTGGCGAGAGCAAGCTCTCATTGACATTGGCTTTCAATGCTACTATTCTCCATTGGTGTAATTGTGAGGATCAGGGTCCTCGGTAGGCCTATGGGGCCCTGTTTGCAGCATTACCCGCCCTAAGTGAAGGCGGAGGTGCCCGCCCTAAGTGAAGGCGGACCTGGCTTTTTGCAAGAGGCCCTCGACTGTCAATTTCATATTTGGGGTCCAGGCAGTTGCGACGCGCCAGTTGGTTGAAAGAAACCCAGGCCGAGCAACAAAGACATTTCCACGGCCTACCGGGCCTTTCCAAAGAATGCAGGCCCTGGGCGTGATTCGCAGCCTCATACAGAGACAGTTGGGCGCCCAACCAAACGAGGCCCAGCAGCCCTGTTGCTGCTGCATCCAGGCAGCCTCCTGGGGCCTTCCGGAAGCTTCTGGGCCCAGGCCAGGGCAGCCAGGCTGAGTGAGCAGGCCAACTCTTTCCATAAAGGAAAGAGCTCGGCCCTGGCTGCCTCATTCAGGCACTCGCATGCTAGCTGCAGCGCTGCTGGAGCAAAGGCTCGCGGCTGCTGGCTGGTGCTGAGAGGCGAGGTGCAGCACGTGCGGTCGTGCAGAGGAGGAGGGCGCTGCTGAGGGCAGCGCCATAGCCCAGTCACCATAGCTGGTGGGCTTGGACTACAGTGAAGCGCAGGGGTGGTCTTCGGGTGAAAGAGAGGACAGATGTGGGTGTAGTCAGGGGATAGGTGAAGGATGATGATGATGATGATGTGAGGGTACTTACCTTGTATTGGCGATGGTCTGCATGGGCAACATCTTCAAGTACTTCGGGCTGCCGCTGATGTCAACAGTTGCATTGTCTTTTTGTAGTCTGTAGTAGCTGTGTAGGAGTAGGCTGGGCGCTGAGCGCCAAGTGTGAGTGTGAAGAAACTGGACTCTTGTGTTGGGAGGAGAGAGTATGCTCTCCATGAACGTTGGTTTTCAGTGCTACGAACCTCCATTGGTGTATTATTGGTGCAATGCTGCGCTCTGGACACGGTGTGACTATTTGGCTTTCAGTGTGATGGTGTGATCTGGAATTGTCATCTCGCTGTTACTTATTTTCCTTGCATAATATTGGTGCAATGCTACTTTCTGAACACTGTGATACGATCTGGCTTTCAATGTGATTGTGCTATCTGAATATTGCCATCTCACTTCTGTTCATTTTCCTTGCATATTTTTTAAAAAGTGAGTAGAAACGAAAATCTCATCTTTTTAGTATGTAGTCTTTGAACTGACCGATCCCAGGTAAATTCAGAGTTATTCGCACTCGTCTAATTCCATTGGGACTAGATTCAGGTCGTCTGTATTTGAACAGTTCGTGGGGGTGTATCGACTTAGGCTAGACATCAAATCTGGGGAAAAACAATTTTTTTTTTTTTTGCTCATGCTGGTAGATGTGGCATACTCTGTACCACACGGGCCCAGCAGAGCCCGACAAGGTAGACTAAGGGTCAATAGGTGTAGGGCCTATTTCGTTTCAGCCTAAAAGCCTGAAAACGACGGCCTACAGGCCCTGTGTCGTTTCAGCCTGAAAGCCTGAAAACAAGGGCCTACAGGCCCTGTGTCGTTTCAGCCTAAAACAGGGCCCTCCAGGCTCTGAGCCTTTTCAGCCTGAAACACTAGGCCATTTTCAGGCCCTCATAAGATCGACCTGCCCTGAAACTTGGGCACCAGGCCAGGGTTTTAGCACAGGCCATTTTGGGCCTGTTTTGAAGACAACCTTTGGCTGAACTTCAATGCCAGGGTCTGGCACGTTTTGGCATTGGCAAGAGCAGCCTCCTGGACGGGCCAGCACTATATAAGACTGGCCCGCCCTGCAGGCTGCAGGCAGTCACGAGGCAGTTCATAGGAACTTCCCAGGCACTTCACGTGCAGGAGGCAGGAGGTAGTCTTCAGGATTCGGCAGCAGCACCCTGGAGGAGCGCTGCAGGAGTAGTAGTAGCATTAGCAGTAGCCTTCAGCGCTGGGNCGATGGTTGGCGGAGGCCAGGGAGACTTACCTGTGGCGCCATAGCTCCAGCTTCGTCTTCGATGTACCTGCAACAAGGCGCCACCTTCACAGGTTGGTACCGGACACAGAGAGAGAGAGAGAGAGAGAGAGAGAGAGAGAGAGAGAGAGAGAGAGAGAGAGAGAGAGAGAGTTCTTCTTCCTCCTCTTCTAAGTCCACCATCTCTTCCTCACCCTCTCGCTACTTGACTTCTCAGTATCTGCAGACTACGAGAGAGAGAGATTGGTGACTTTGGGGTTTGACGACATTTGGATCCAGACTCGACATTGAGATTCAGACATTTGACGAGGGATTATTTGGGACTGTACCGAAGACTTGGTGTTGACGACATTTCCATCTTCCCCTCTTCTTCGTCTAACCCCCTCTTCTTCGTCTGTGTATAGTTGGGGACTGACACATTCTCCCTGTGTGAGCACCAGGCTCCTTCACACCATGGAATGATGATGATGTATGTTAGGTCTGCATGGCAACATTGATTGTTCGGATCATTGGTATTTAAGCCTTCCGCTGTGTTATCTTGTACTTTGTGAGAGAGGTCGGTTCTTGTTCTGGTCTGTACCGTTACGATATGCGACATAGACGTGGTCCAGCCGGCTGTTCAATTGATGCGTTCAGAATCTCAGATCTTGGCCCAAACAGCCCAGTCCCTGTTGAACGTGTCCCGCCCAACTACCCAGAAGTCCCAGATCCATCTTTCTTTACCCCCTCCTTCAGGTTGTATAGACACCGGTCCCACCGGCAGAAAAGCTAAAGCCATAGATGGGTGGTCTTGTCTTACTGGATTAGGCATATTTAATATATGTTTATAATCCAGCAGAGTTTGCCCCTTTTGGAAGGTGATCATCTCTCTTCGATTCACACAATGCTGCGACAAGACACGGCATCGTTTGAAAATTTTGTTGTGCTGGGTGTGGAATGCGTTCCTTCTTTTTCTGGAAATGAAGGGTGATAGCCCTCTATATTATTTTGTCCAGTAGGAGTTGAAGCTGGAACTCTTGTCAAACGGTGGCGGTATGTGGGTCGCTGACAGGGTCACGTCAAAATTCTTCACCAATTTTATAATTAAAAAAAATTAAAAATATATTATTGTTATTATTGGTGGCGATATTGAAAGGCCTTCCACGATTTAGACCCCAAATTCGAGTTTCAGGGTCAGAGGCCTGGGCCAAGAAAGGCCACATCGGTAAGTTTCAGAAAAGTCACAGTTGGGTACCTTAGTACTCAAGTCCAATAGGCACCCGGCAAACAGTCACATCTCGGGGGTAAAATCACGTCTCATAATGAAAAGTCATATTGGAGAGTCATATCCCATGGGCAAAGGGCAAAGGACACTTCACAGGCAAGAGACTGTTCCAGAGGCAGGAGTCACAAACCACTGTCAAAAGCCAGGTGCCACAATCAAAAAGGCGTGACTCAAAGGCCCAAGCAGCAGCACACCAATGAAAATTCGGGAAAGGTACCAGGCCCTGGCATTCGAAAGCAAAATAGGCCATGGGGATGTGGTGCGGGAACCAGGTCAAGTCCCAAGAAGCAGAGGCTGGGACGAGTTGAAGTTCGGTCCAAGACAATATAAGGACTGGCCAGCCTCCTCATTCGGAGATTGCTCATTCGCATGAAGTGTGGAAGTGCTGGTGCACTTGTGCGCTATTGTGAGGGGCGCGGCACTGAGCCAGGGAGCTGCGCTAGTAGAGGGAGCAGCCATGGCTGCCCAATGCTGGATACTGGTTACTTGGGCTTGCACTGTTGAGCGCTTGTGATTGGAACTCTTAATTGCTCGTATGACAATTTGTTGGAGATTCTAAAACTGTGCTTACCTGGTCTTCATCTCTCTGGCCTCCAGTGTGAGCTTCATGTGAAGTCGTTCGTGCATGGTGTGTGATTGTGTGCACTCGTTGGTGGTGAACTGAGAGGTTCAATGCAATATGTGGGTTGCTGACATTAGTTTGTCCCCAAGGGTTCAAAGTTCCCAATCTGTCTATTTTTACATTAGGAATGGAAGTCTAGGCTGTCAGACGGGCCGCCCGGGTCACCTTGTTTGCGCGGGGCAGGGCCCGGACGTGCAAGGACAGAGGAAGCCCAGCAAAAAAAAAAAAAAAAAAAAAAAAAAAAAAAAAAAAAAAAAAAAAAAAAAAAAAAAAAAACCCGAGAAAACACTCTGTTATGCAGAAAAATAAAGTGAACAACTTTTGCCGCAGGGTCACGTCAAAATTTCTTAACCAATTTTGAAATAATTTCAAATAAAAAAGAATAAAAATTATTATTATTATTATTTGTTTTATTTTTTTTTCTGGCCCGGGCGGGCAAGTGGTCCTGGGCCACGCTGGTACTCTGGATGGAAGAGAATACTATCTGGGTACACGTGTGCATGTGTGCCATTCAGCTAGAGGACAGGTGGTGTGGAATGCTTTTCAGATTCCGGCTAAAACGGAGCGGGTTTTGTGGCAAATGTGGTGGGATGTGGGTTTCATTTGCTCTGCAGGAGGATGAACCTGATCAATTTGCCGACTCGGTACTTGCATTCATCACCAGGAACCGAATCGGAGGGCCAGGAATCGACGTAAGATGGCTCACCCGTCCAAGACCGCAGTATTCTGGGAGGGGACTTGTCATGCTTGGAAACACTAAGGGTGGAGTCGTAATAGGTCAGCAGAGTGTAGCTAAGGCTCAGCTGCCACCAGCACTGATCGAATTGCGACCGATTGGAACGGTATCTGGTGCACAGAGGAAACCAGAAGTGATTGCCCATGGCAGCAACATGCAAGGACAAGTGCGGGGGGGGCGTACATTTTCTGCATGGGTCCGGTCTGCTTTGTCCTGCTGCAAATTAGCATCTCTTGGTCGCTGCCAATGTCAATGCCGTAGTAGATCCCGCAAACTCCGGCCCCCATCCAAGCAGTCGTGAGCGAGTATTTGGGTGTTTTTTTAGACGGCCTTTGGCTGTCTGCTCGGAGACATCGCAAGTGGCCAACTGAATCCCTCGCGAACTCTGGTCACAGTCCAAGCAGTGGTGGGCGAGTATTTGGGTGTTTTGGATGGGGGTTGGTGGCTGTCTGCTCGCAGAAATCCCAAGTGAGCAGCGGTGCACTCTCTGGGCCACTAATCACATGGGAAGTGGTGGGGGGTTAGTGTTGCTTCGTCAAAGGACTCGAACGGTCGAACCTAGATTCCCCGATGCTACGGATCGCTTAGATGCGATGGATCTTTTCAAAGCTTTGTTTAGCAACTGCTTCAACTGATAATCGGCGTCTTTATGTCAGCAACTAGATCACGGATGAAGCGAGGACATCAGTCACTGATGCATCCAACCGAGTGATGTTGAATCACACAAAGTCTCCCTCCATAACCCATATGTACTCAGTGGATTTTTAACAACACACTGGGTGTTTTGATTATGTTTTTTTCCAGGCCTCTTGCCGCTTGTGTTTGAGACTTGCTACAATGTGTTGTCATGGGGAGGCCTGCAGTGCTGTTTTCTCACTAGGATTACCAGGGTGGGCCGGAGGGGTGGGGATAAAGAGAAGAGTGAAGGAGTGGGGAAGCGGTCAAAAGTAGCACAGAGTGTATTGCAGTGCAGTGTGTTTTTGAGAGATTCACTGCCAGGCAAGGTTGTCTTGACTCTTTTGGGGTGTTCTTTCATATTGCATTGATCGGGGGGGGGGTACAACGCGTGGAAGGGGTGAGAGGTGGGGAATTGTGCATGCAAAATGTGTGTGCTTGAGAGATCGACTGCCAACCAAGGTTGTTCCGCCTTTTTGGGGGGTGGGGTTTCTTTCATAATGTGTTGGTCAGCTTCCTGTGCTCCCTTTATTATATCATCATGCTCTTCAGCCTCTTGTTCGATTTCTACCACATGGGGTTCGAAGTCCGTGGCAGGATCCTTGACCGGGGATGGCTGTGGCCTGGAGGTCTAGAGCATAGGGCATGGTTTTCCACTGTGGTAATAATATGTTAAAAAGTG